CTTTGCGTATATCAATACCCATGGGAGGCACACCATCACAGTGAAATCTCGTCCAGATTTCGGTCTCGTCCGAGGCTGTAAGGCGAGTCTCTCACGAGCTCCGCCAGATCAAGGTGGAAGGGCTTCATCATCGGGTTGAGGCGGGTAGCTGCGATGGTTGAGAAGAGCCAGAGCTGCTCAGCGTACTTAGTGGGTTCCTCTCGTCTCTCAATACAATTATGACATGTGCTGCCACACCAGATTCTCTGACACACTCAACGCTCTCCTTGGCTGCATCTAACCAGTCCTGTCCCACATGCTCGTCCGCAGCAGCCTGGCAGAGCTCCTTCACCAGACCGCTCGATGAGCCCCGTAGTAGATTCAAAACTCGTTCGTCGCCCGAGCTCGGCAACCTGATGTGCTCACAGGCCTTACGGAATAGCTCATCCAAATAATCCGCAGCACGTGTGCAGCGTGCGATTCGGAGGGCCTCTCGTGCGAGCAATAAATTACCGTAGCTGCCGTAGCTATCACGACGGTCAGCTGGGCAAGCAACTATGATGGTTCCATCTCCATTTTCTTGTGACGCTTCAAGGCTCGCCGCCCAACACAGCAAGCCCCTCTGGAGCACATATACGAACTCGATTGAAGCAACTCGCTTATCGAGAGGCATGTCGAGACCGAGAAGATCGCAGATCAATTCATCAGGACGGATGCACAATGAAGTTGATATAGAGGAGCTCTGAATCAGGAGCATGAGCGCAAGACATATATGCATGAAGGCGCTCACGTCGATGCCGAGTACAGTCAGGGCTTTGATCAGATCCCTAGGTTTTTTAGGATCGTTGATAGCAGGCCACGATAATCGTGACATACCTAGGAGGCTCAGTGCCTTATGAACCGTTGAGGATGGCTCGACTTCCCCGATCAACTCAGTCAGATGGCCGTAAGCATGCCCTATAAGAGCACTCACATATGCCCCCTCGGAATTGGATCCCAATGGAAAGGCCTCTAGAGAGTAGCCGCCATTGAGAAATAGAGCAGCATGGCATCGCCCTTCGCAGTCGGTCGCGAGAAGAGAGGTCACAAGACAAGCCGCTCGCAGTTTCTCATCCTCGGGGCCTTGAGACGAGTTGCGTGCGAGAGCATACCAAGTAGCAGCTAGGTCGCCTTCACCCACGATCCACACCACGTTCTTGGAGCTCTTAAGGTTCACCTGCTCGACCTTATGTCGGTGGCCGATGCTGCCAGCACCGTCGCCCAATACCTCCCCTAGAGGGCTTCGGCTGCATACCAGACTGACCTGCATCTTGGGCGGGACGTCAGCCGTGCAGATCCTCGGCAGCCGGGCCATGACTGTGGCTGTAACCGTTCCTCTGTGTAGTGGCAGTTCCCCCTCTCGGATACAGTAAGAGACGTCCGAGTGCTCTAAGGCGTAGCGAGATGCCTCCAACGGATACACCTTATTCGCGGGAACGACCAGAATGTTATCTGGACCGCCACTCTTCAACATCACTACTGCCTCGGCATCCCGTCTATTGGGAGCTACACGAAGGCTTGTGACTCTGCCATGCAGGGAGGTCGAGAAAGGGGAGGGTTCTTCTCCGGGCGTGTCACGGTCAACTAGTACTTCTTGCCCGACTAGATTGGACGGCTTCGATGGTGAGAAGCCAATTGTCATCAGGACACGCTCACTCAACTGCTTGGAACATTCAAGCCGAAGGCCATTCCAGTACAACGGCCATCATCAACGACGATTCATCAGTCGAAAGATGTATCACGATTTCCGAAGTACTATTCGTTACGGCACATGGAGCTAAGATATGC